ATAGTCAGGATTCATCCATTTACGCCACCACCTACGAAACCTCTACATCTTTCATCAATCATGGCGGCTTTGTTAACATTTATTATTAAACAGTTTAAGAGCTCCGAAGCACTATGAGGTTTTTTATAGCAGTAACAACTTTGGGATGGGAAGTTTCGAAGCTCGCAAACCGTTAATAAATACAAACAATGCCGCCATGATTAAGGCAAGATGTACAGGTTTCGTAAAGTGGTTGTGTAAATCCTTGAAGAGCCGTGGGCCAGAATGTTAGCGAAGACTTCCTGGCGTACTGTACGCCTGATTTGGAAGGTGGAGTCGCGGTGGCGTACCACAGGGCACACCACACTGTTTTGTGGTCGATAGATCGCGTCACTCCGGTTGATAGATGGTGTCCTTGTGGTTGATAGATGGTGGTTGGTTTAAGCCTGGTTCCTGGAGAAGTTAGTGCTATTTATCCTGTTGTTAAAGTCTTTGTGGTGGTGGGTAGAATTTGATTATCATTTTTGTCTCATTGATTCTCTCTCTCTCTCTCTCTCTCTCTCTCTCTCTCTCTCTCTCTCTCTCTCTCTCTCTCTCTCTCTCTCTCTCTCTCTCTCTCTCTCTCTCTCTCTCTCTCTCTCTCTTTCTCTCTCTCTCTCTCTCCCGTCACCACCTCCATCCCATCCACGCCCTGCCTCTTCCCCGCCGAACGCCCTCCCAAACCCCCACAGTAAGATGAGGTCACGTCACAGCACATACAAGCCATCAAAGGCCCCTAATCCCCCTCAGAGGTCGACCTTCCTGCCGCAGGCGCCGACGGAGCAGCGGGAGAGAGCTCGCTGACGAAGGGCAGGGTCTTCGCGCGGGAATAACACCACATGTCATACGATGAATCCCCACGAGGTAATAGTCCAACTCTTGATACCTGACGAGTTATGCATGAGGGTGGGCGTCTGGGGCGTCTCTCCGGGATGGTGGCGGGACTGGGGGTGAAGTGGGTGGTAGTGGAGGGCTGGGGCTAGTGGTAGTGGGGGCTGGTGGTAGTGGAGGGCTGGGGCTAGTGGTAGTGGGGACTGGGGCTAGTGGTAGTGGGTGGAGGGTGGTGTTAGTGCGGGGTGGAGGTGGGTCTAACCACAGGTAATCATTAACTCAATGTGTTGAAGACAACGAATCACCTGAGGTGTTGATACTGAAGGCACCTCCTTGGGGTTGTGACAGGATAAGGATAGAATAAGAGCTGGGATTATGAGGATAGGATAAGAGGATGAGGTGAAGGAACAGCGGCCAAACATAGGGGCAAGAGTTACGTTGAGTGTCGACGGATTTAAGAGAATAAACAGGTAATATCTCACAAAATATTTTATATAAAATCTTCAATATTATCTGGGAAGTGTTTTTTCCTTGCACTTAAATAGTCTCATTTAAACATGCTTGTGTATATAATTTTCTTTCTGGTCAATCATAACATTGTTTTGTCTGGTCAATGTTGATAATGTCCTGTCGGGTCAATAACAGTTTTATCAATGGTGCTATAAGACGTTACTAGCGTTAATAGATCTTGAATTCGTTGATGAGATCTATTTCCTGAATGACACCAAAGACACCTTGGGGGTACAAAGTGTTGCAACACTTCACGGCATCTACATCAATGCTCATAGACTCAAATCTTAGTCATTATCATGCATCATTTACCGCAATTATCTCTTGATTATTGTAACGCAGTTATCGTACCGTCGTTAATCACCAACAATAACGCGTGTAGAACCTTGCTAAAAAAAAAATCCCAGCGCCCCACCTATGGGAATCACACGACCATCCATAGTCGTAAGTGCTATATATCAGCTATCATAACCCCCCCCCCTCATTTGGCATTACGATTACCGCATGCTATCTCAGCGAGAAGATAGCGAGAACTGTCACCCGGGGGACCCGCTCGCGCACCGCCAACCGTAGTAAGGACCATTAATGATCGCACTTTGGCGCGTCTCGTTTGATATGGTAAGAGGGTGGTGGTGCTGCCGTTAAGCGGGGCGAGGCTCTTCCCAGGTGTTATTAAGAAGTTTACCTCGCTAGGTATACTCCTCAAGCGTGACCCCCCCTTCCCCCACAGAACACATATTTCAGTTTACATGTGTAGTTATGTTGGGGTGTTGAGCGCCCCGTCACCCGTAGCGCGGCTGGTGTTGACCCAGTACACGTGGTACTGTTTTAAGAACCATTTGTTGCACCGTGGGAGAAAACTGCCGATGGCAACTGGAGGAGCAGCTGGGGATTTATGGCAACTGGAGGAAGAACTAGGGATTTATGGGAACCGGAGGAACAACTAGGGATTTACGGCAACTGGAGGAACAACTGGGGATTTATGGAAACTTGAGGAACAACTAGGAATTTATGGCGACCGGAGTAACAACTAGGGATTTATGGCAACTGGAGGAACAACTGGGGTTTTATGGGAACTGGAGGAACGACTAGGGATTTATGGCAACTGGAGGAAAAACTAGGGATTTATGACAACTGGAGGAACAACTAGGGATTTATGGCAGCTGGAGGAACGACTAGGGATTTATGGCAACTGGGGAACAACTAGGGATTTATGGCAACTGGGGGAACAACTAGGGATTTATGGCAACTTGAGAAATAACTAAATATTTATGGCAACCGGAGGAACAACTAGGGATTTATGGCAACTGGAGGAACAACTAGGGATTTATGACAACTGGAGGAACAACTAGGGATTTATGGCAACTGGAGGAACGACTAGGGATTTATGGCAACTGGAGGAACAACTAGGGATTTATGACAACTGGAGGAACAACTAGGGATTTATGGCAACTGGAGGAACGACTAGGGATTTATGGCAACTGGAGGAACGACTAGGGATTTATGGCAACTGGAGGAACAACTAGGGATTTATGATCATCCATTACGACAACTAAAAAAAAGAAAACAGCGTTATTTGAGGATTTTTATACAAGATTTATAACAAAGAGTTTTGCAACGTTTAATATGGCAAGGCAGGAAGGCAGAGGAGCAGGATGGTGAAGAGTGGCAAGTATGGTGGCAGCGACCTCTAGTGGGATAATATGGCAACTACCACACTCCACAGACACATTTGGTGGGAGGCATCTTTACGGGCTATTCATGCCCGTGCCACCTCTTGGGTGGCTTAATCTTTATCAATCATCAATCGGAGGCATCTTGAGATGAAATATTTGAGTTTACCTGAAAAGCTGAATAGAAAACCACGACCTAACCTAACCGTCTTAGTTTTTGAAGATAATCATTTTCTTGCTTCTTAATTACAATTCACCTTCCCTGGTGATTCAGATCCAGTATTTTGGTTTTTGGCTTTTGCTCGCAATTTGTATTTTCTTGTTGACGTTCCAACTTTATTAAGGACCGGGGGGGGGGGGAGAATTCCAATGTTCACATGTTTAACACTATCGAAGACTGCTACATTGGGCAGCTAGCGACGGCCATATCAGAGATGAATCTGCTTTCTTAATCTTAAAAAAAAAATTAGTTTCCCGATTCAGTAAGTCATTTAGGCGTTCAAACTGCCGTAATCCGCGCACAATTGAGCGGGGGTTAAGAGACTACTGGCCACCATGACCTATACTAACTTCCGATAATATTAGGTCATTGATGCTTGTGGATACAGATCCCACCATATCCTTCAGTCCCCCTTCCTTGGAGGTGGAGGGAGCGAGTGGGGGAGACGGGGCTCAGGGCGACCCACTTGCCAGAGCATCCCAGCTCCAGTCATGAAATTGTGGGATATGTAATATTGGAACAAGAGAAAGGGATGGGAGGGGAGGGGAGGGGTCTAGCCTTCCGGAGATGAATGGCAAGGAACACGCAAGAGCATCTCTCTCTCTCTCTCTCTCTCTCTCTCTCTCTCTCTCTCTCTCTCTCTCTCTCTCTCTCTCTCTCTCTCTCTCTCTCTCTCTCTCTCTCCGCGTAAAATATATCGCCAGATACACTTGTGGCTGCTCTCTTGAGAGGTAATGACGCGAACTGCTCCCATGAATTCATCTTTGCATGTCCTCCCACCGTCGCCCACAGACCCGCTGTGGGCTCGCTCCCTCGGCACCACCACACCTCACACCACACACCGTACCAGCTCCAGCTGTTCCCTCCTGCCTTGGCGCATGGCGGAACGGCGCTCGTCAAGCCGTGGGAATCACAGCCTCACGAAAGGGTGGAACAAAAATTACCCATCCTTTAATATTCAGCGTCACATCTTTGACAGTGAGTTATAACATGCATTACAGATCATCAAATTATGCCGTGATATAAACGTGGGGTGATACAGCAGCTTCTCTCTAATGTGTCTATTACCTCTCTGGGGAGTAATGGTACCTCATGAAGTTACCTTCCTTCCTCCTGAGGCATAATGAGATAATGCGTCCTAGTATTGTCGTTAGTGATGTGGTTCAGTAAACACTTCAGGCGTCGGAGAACGACACTTCAGGGTTCCTGGCTAGTTCTGTGTACCAAGTACAGGCGATGAGTCACAATAACGTGGCTGAAGTATGTTGACCAGACCACACACTAGAAAGTGAAGGGACGACGACGTTTCGGTCCGTCCTGGACCATTCTCACAATCGACTAGAGAATGGTCCAGGGCGGACCGAAACGTCGTCGTCCCTTCACCTTCTAGTGTGTGGTCTGGTCTGTGTACCAAGCGTCCTGACCCCAGGCGTTCCTACGATATAGTTTACCATCTGATGCTAAATATTTCAACGCAGAGAAGAACAATGGATATGAATTGGATAACTTTAGATTAAAGAACACCAGGGTAACTGCTGGGTTTTAGAGTGATGTGGATTTATGGAACAAGTTACCGGGTGGTGCAATAGACGTTGGATAGCTGGGGTTGTATCAAGCTTAAGTTAGACATGTGTATGAATGAGTTTGTGTGGTTATTAATTGGAGCTGCCTCGTAGGGACCAATAGGCTCTCTGCAGTTTCCTTTATTCTTATCTTCTGCTACCAGGTCTTGACCTTGGATCACTTACCGTCTGTTCTGGTACCAGGTCTTGACTTGGGTGTCGGTCAGGTTGAGCTTGGCGGCCAGTTCCATGCGGTCCTGGACACTTAGGTACTTCTGCCGCTCGAAGCTCTTCTCCAGCGTCTGTAACTGGTTGTCTGAGAACGCCGTCCGCGCCTTCCGTTGTTTCTTGCAAGGTGGAGGTCCCTCCACGCCGTCCTCTTCCGCGTCCTCTGCCGGCGACGATGGCGAACCTGAAGGAGGTAAGTTAATCCTCAGTGCACAACCACACTCCACAAAATCAATGTGATAATTTACCGTCATAACAAGATACTCTTTCCGTCAGACCTGGCGGCCTTGGTGTCCGCACAGCCTCCCAGATTGCTCTGACAGCCTTCCTTTCCTCCTATACATCTAAGGACCTTTTAAACAATATCTTGAGCCTACTGTGGTGAGCTATGCTTTCCCTGTTGGTCCTGCGCTCGCCTAGGAACCAACTTCTGCTATATTCCACTCCCAACCACAGACACTAGCTGTCCACCCACGTTCTGTGACCTACACCTTGAGACAGGACCAACCAGCCTACACTTCTCCCGCCGGGTCCGCCTCTCCCAGTTCTGATTCAGGTAACAGGTAATCATCAGCTGCTCATGTGTGCCCTGAACACCTGTTCCTGGGTGTAGCCACACGCCACAGGAGAGGAGGAAGGACCTCCATGTGATAAGCACACAGTGAAAGAGACGGCTTCCTCTTCCTCTCAGCTGTCGTCAGGATATATATTATATATATATATAACAACTTGATGAAAATATAAATTTCTCGAATACCATGGAATATACAACCCTCTAATCGGTATTTTAAAGCGATGCTCTCTTCACGGCGAGCGCTACACTTATGGATATATATATATATATATATATATATATATATATATATATATATATATATATATATATATATATATATATATATATATATATATATATATATATATATATATATATATTATTAAATATGACCGAAAAAGTAAGATTAATAATTCTAACACGAATTTTCTCAATCTTTCGTACATTACGCTTCACTGTTGGAGGTAAATCAAAAATCACTTCTCCAAAATTCATTTTTATTTCTAGTCTGACGCGACACGGGCGCGTTTCGTAAAACTTATTACATTTTCAAAGACTTCACAAATACACAACTGATTTAGAACGTATCTCTGATTTTATATCTACATTTGAGTGAGGTGGGAAGGGTGATGTGGCATTAACACAAGACAAAAAAAAAAAAAACCCAGTATATAGGCAAGACAACAACATCTCTTTCTAGGCGTTTAACGATGCATAAGCAACAGGGCTCCATTAAGGAACATATAATCTCTTCCCATAACCAAACCATCGCCAGAGAAATCCTAGTAAACAACACAGAAATCATCGATAGATACAGCGATAGCAGGCGGCTTGACGTTTGCGAGGCACTACACATCAAGAAGTCAACACCAGCAATCAACAGCCAATTATTGCACAACTATATTCTACCCACCTCAAGACTCCGCTCCAATATAGAAGCATCAAGAAATATGGACCAATAGGCTTTCTACAAACACTTCTATTCAATACCCATTGTTTCTGTTCTGTCTTGTGTTGATACTTTTAATACCCTATTAATATCCCCTCCTGTTCTGTCTTGTGTTAATGCCACATCACCCTTCCCACCTCACTCAAATGTAGATATAAAATCAGAGATACGTTCTAAATCAGTTGTGTATTTGTGAAGTCTTTGAAAATGTAATAAGTTTTACGAAACGCGCCCGTGTCGCGTCAGACTAGAAATAAAAATGAATTTTGGAGAAGTGATTTTTGATTTACCTCCAACAGTGAAGCGTAATGTACGAAAGATTGAGAAAATTCGTGTTAGAATTATTAATCTTACTTTTTCGGTCATATTTAATAATATATGTCTACAGGAAAGACTGCTACCAAAATATACTAATATATATATATATATATATATATATATATATATATATATATATATATATATATATATATATATATATATATATATCCATAAGTGTAGCGCTCGCCGTGAAGAGAGCATCGCTTTAAAATACCGATTAGAGGGTTGTATATTCCATGGTATTCGAGAAATTTATATTTTCATCAGGTTGTTGTAAGAGATATGCCTGTGTGTGTGTGTGTGTGTGTGTGTGTGTGTGTGTGTGTGTGTGTGTGTGTGTCCGCGTGCGGGGAGGGAGTCCGAGTGAGAGGGTGGAAGGGTTGAGGAATGAGGGAGAGTAATGATGGAGAAAAGAAAGCAGGATGGTGGAGAGAGGAATGCTGTACAAAGTGAGGGAGAAAGGAAGGATAGAGTGAGAGAGGGAGGATGAAGGGAGGAGAGAGAGAGAGAGTGGTAGGGAGGAGCCAGGCTGGACTTAATGAGAGAACAGATAGGCTACCCATCAGAGCGACGGCCCTCAGGTAATCTAAGTATCCCTTTTTTTCTTAACAGTGACCGATAAAACGCCTCAAGATACCACGGCCTCAATACCACAGTAGCCAGCGTTGTAGAGAAACTTGGGCAGGCCATTATAGGTTATACTATAGGGAGAGCAAGCGGCTTGGCACGGCCTTGAGGTTATCTTGAGGTTATCTTGAGATGATTTCGGGGCTTTAGTGTCCCCGCGGCCCGGTCCTCGACCAGGCCTCCACCCCCAGGAAGCAGCCCGTGACAGCTGACTAACACCCAGGTACCTATTTTACTGCTAGGTAACAGGGGCATAGGGTGAAAGAAACTCTGCCCATTGTTTCTCTCCGGCGCCCGGGATCGAACCCGGGACCACAGGATCACAAGTCCAGCGTGCTGTCTGCTCGGCCGACCGGCTCCCAGTGATATTTATAGGAATGATTTCTGTTTGTGCGTTCAGGCACCGCTCCCGTGCCAGGTAAGTCCACTACGGGCTCACCATAGCCCGTGCTACTTGCCCCGCTCCTGTGCCAGGTAAGTCCACCACGGGCTCACCACAGCTCCGCTCCTGTGCCAGGTAAGTCCACTACGGGCTCACCATAGCCCGTGCTACTTGGAACATTTTGTTCCCAGTAGCTGAATCTTAAACAACACGTTTGTACAATCATCCTTACTCAGGTTAGGCTTGCCCAAACTGCGGCCGAATTCGTTAATTCTTATTCGTTGATTAACCAAAGACGATATATTTGTTTCGAATATAAATTGATCTTAAGGTATGTTATAATTTCACGTAAAGTTAGGCGTAAGATCGGTGAGGCGTCTTAGTTCCGTTGGTAATTATGTGTGTTTGTAGTACGTAAGTGAAGTATTTAGAGAGATGTGATTCGAACACTTGAAGAAACCGAAAGGCTGTTCATGAAACGTGTTCGGACGCCGTGAATCACGTGAATAATACTTTTTTTATTCGTGAGTCTCGTGAATAATATTTTTTTCATTCGTGAGTCAAGTGAATAATGGTTTTCATTCCTAACCCGGTTATTTTTCCTCTTAGTCAACGTCAGGGCGCCTGACAGCTGGGTGGACAGCGCTTCGGATTCGTAGTCCTGAGGTTCCGGGTTCGATCCCCGGTGGAGGCGGAGACAAATGGGCAAAACGTTTCTTTCACCCTGATGGCCCTGTTAATTAGCAGTAAATAGGTACCTGGGAGTTAGACAGCTGCTACGGGCTACTTCCTGGGGGAGGGGGTGGTCGAGGACCGGGCCGCGGGGACGCTAAGCCCCGAAATCATCTCAAGATAACGTTTACGAGAAAGCACTCTTAAAGTCATCAATCATCACTTGATTGATGAGTGTTTGTTTTAAGTCTCAGTCAGCACAGAAAAACTTGAATTGGCATCAAAATTATTGGGTTTAAATCCTCATAGCGTGACACTAAATGATATCGCAAGGAGGACTTGAACTGTTGTATATTGACGGTGGAGGTATGAGGCTCTTGATGGTACAAGGACTACTGACGCTACAAGAGAGAGGCTACTGAGAAAAATTAGGAGCTGTTAATGATACAAGAATAGTATTGATGCTACAAAGAGGGCATCTGATCCTACCGGTAGGGGTTCAGATGCTACAAGGACGACTGCTGGAGCTACAATGGCTAGTGGGCCACCAGTACGGGCTAGTTATGCTACAAGGAGAGCTACAGATGCTACAATGAGGGCTACCACACATTACACTATAAACAACGGGATAGCTTTCACCAAAGCACCAACGAAGGTCCACCCACCAGCGGACGCTACCCATAACCTACCCATAACACCCCACAATCTACCCATAACACCCCATAATCTACCCATAACACCCCACAATCTACCCATAACACCCCATAACCTACCCATAACACCCCACAATCTACCCATAACACCCCATAACCTACCCATAACACCCCACAATCTACCCATAACACCCCACAACCTACCCATAACACCCCACAATCTACCCATAACACCCCATAACCTACCCATAACACCCCACAATCTACCCATAACACCCCATAACCTACCCATAACACCCCACAATCTACCCATAACACCACATAACCTACCCATAACACCCCACAATCTACCCATAACACCCCATAACCTACCCATAACACCCCACAATCTACCCATAACACCCCACAACCTACCCATAACACCCCACAATCTACCCATAACACCCCATAACCTACCCATAACACCCCACAATCTACCCATAACACCCCATAACCTACCCATAACACCCCACAATCTACCCATAACACCCATAACCTACCCATAACACCCCACAATCTACCCATAACACCCCATAACCTACCCATAACACCCCACAATCTACCCATAACACCCCATAACCTACCCATAACACCCCACAATCTACCCATAACACCCCATAACCTACCCATAACACCCCACAATCTACCCATAACACCCCATAACCTACCCATAACACCCCACAATCTACCCATAACACCACATAACCTACCCATAACACCCCACAATCTACCCATAACACCCCATAACCTACCCATAACACCCCACAATCTACCCATAACACCACATAACCTACCCATAACACCCCACAATCTACCCATAACACCACATAACCTACCCATTATCTACCCATCCAAGGAAGGCACAATAAAGTCTCCAGCTAACTGTAAAATTAAATAATGGTCGCATATATTTAGATGAAATACGGCCACTATGGGCTTCGGTAGGTGAAAGCTTAATTGAAAATGAATGTTTAGGAAACAAATA